GGTGGAAAATGCAGGCAAAAAACGGGGATATAAGTTGGTGGCCGATCCTTGCCTCGATGTGGCATTCAAGCCCTGATCCAAGCATGGCCTTGCGTAGATCAGTCTTATCCGGCTTGTAAACACTTTGCCAAAGCTGCAGGTCTGGCAAGCGCAGACCAAGAGCGACCACAAAGCCGTGGCGGTAAAGAAGGTTCAGACACATCTGTGAAGCAGACTGGGGACAGTAGCTACGATCTGCAAATGCGAGACATTGCGAGCCGAACATAGACAATACCCAGCACTTGCACAGGTCCGTTTGCAGCTGATTCTCGAGAACCAGCTCCTTGACCAGCTGAAGCGTCACTTAATGGCATGCATTCGACCCCAGCAGACGGTCAACAGTCTCACCAGCAGTTTCCAGGTGAGGTCAACATTCTGTACTCTTTGCAGCATCCGCGGATCGTGAGGCCGGGATGTGTTCGACGTTGTCACAAGTTGACCTTGCAAATTGCAAACACGCAGGTTGTACTTCCACTTTGAGGACAAGTACTTCGTGCCTCCGGGCTGAACACGAAGCCAGAGGTGTTATTCTTTTGCCAGCCAGCCGCCATCCTTTGTGGACGGGAATCGATGTAATTAGCTTGCATGAGGTACTTGGGCATGGAGTTCTGCATCGGTCCCGCGGCTAGTATCGTGCCGCTACCAGTAAAGCCGCTCGCTGTGTTAACTTGATGCAGCTTATGTTGGATTTTAGGTGGGAGCTTGTTCGACAAGCTTCAAAAAGCGGAGAAGTTCACTGGCCAGCGTTGGAAGCCAAGAGGGCAAGGAGCAGTGCGGGTCAAACGGACGAGGCTTGCAGTCTCTGCATCAAAAAGCGAGCAAGTGAGATCGCACAACATGAAGCAGACAGCCGGCGGCTGCTCGGGGTGTGCCGCAGGTTCTCAAGAGACTTAGGAAGCATACTCAAAGTGTCAACCGGCAGAAATGAGCACCTGCAACATTTGCGGGAGCAATATTTCGTGCAGCTATGTGCAGCTTGAGGTGCTGCAACTTACTTCCTGCAGACGCCTCTCGGTCGCACGCAGAGGGCGGGAGAGAGAGAGAGGGACCTGTGCCGCTGCGGGTGAGTTTTCACAGTCCTTCCACGAGCCACAGAGACAGACAGACAGACAGACAGACAGACAGACAGACAGAGGAAGCTGTAAAGGTGTCTTGTTTGCTACCACGGGAGCACTCTCTTCCGCTGGTATTTCTACGAACAGCGAGGGACCGTCCCAATACGGCTGAGCCCGTTCCATCAAGTGGATGGACGGGGTTGCGCTGACGCGCGGAACAGGGAGGCTCGCCTAGCTGCCCTAGCTCTTACCCCTTCCAAAGCAAAGAGAGAACTTGCATCTGTGTCGGTGGCTTGGGGGTATGGTCTTAGCGGTTTGGGAGAGTATGGCAGATCCATTCCGGGAGAGCAGTCTATTTCTGCGTCGACCGGACACGGACGGAGCTCGACGGTGTGACAAAACGACGGATGACCAGTTTGGGTTAGACAGAAGGGTTCTCTTCCAGACATTGGTCGGTAAGGTGTGAGGCACTGGACTACTTGCACCACCTGCCGGACAAGGTCCCCTCAAAAAGTGGCGCTTGAAACTCCTTCGTCTCCACCCGTTACCCGTTGTGTCTTTCTTGATTAGTGGTGTTGCTGTTTTTTTGCAAGGTGATACATCGGGACATCAAGCCTGAGAACATACTGCTGGTCCCATGTCCCGGTGTTATTACACTTGCCGCTCATAGGCAGCTCATGGGCCTACGAACATCAACACACCTGTCGCTGAGGATGCAAATGACTCCGCCAAGCTAGCTGATTTCGGCTGGGCAAATCTCCTGGAGCAGGACACGACGCGACTCCGGCACTACTAGAGTGCTACTACTTTGTAAACCTTGCTCTCTGGCTCCCACCACTCCACTCTCGCAGGACAAGCGAAGCACTTTCTGCGGCACACTGGACTATCTTGCTCCCGTCCCTCGTCATGCAAAATTGAACAAGTTGCTGCGAGCGAACCGGACTGATGGGGGCCGCAAGGAGATGATTCGAGGGACTGGCCATGACGAGAGCAGTGGGCTAAGCCTCTGGCTGGCCAGTCTCAGTTGGCCCGGAAAACAGCGCCGGCAGCGATCCTGCAGGTGTGGATATGTGGACGATGGGAGTTTTGCCACTCGGAGCAAGGCTTAGACTCCTGTCTACTTGCATGTGTTGGCCTTGATCAACAACGTCTTGGCTTTGGGACACCCCGGAATCCATTTACGAGTTCAAGCTAGCGAAAGATACAAGTGGACCGAGCAAAGAACCAGGCATCGTGTGGCCAAGGCTTTATGAGATGCTAACGGGACAGCCGCATGGCAAGCATTGAACTGCTCCGTGCAGATCAGCTTCCTGACTTGTAGCCATACCGTCCTATGTGCATTTCAACTCCTGACGAGGTCCCCTTTCGGATCGCAAAGCAAGGACACCGCCTTTTATCAGGGAACGCGTGCATGAATGCGAATTTGCGAAGGAGACGACCTGCAAACGAATCGTTCATGTGGATCTTCTGTTCCCGTCCGACATGGATCAAAGTGGCCAGATACTGAGAGCTTTTCCAGATCTAGGCATCAGCCAGACAAGCAGCTCACTTGCGACATTCGGCAGCCTGCGACATTCGGCACAGATTCGACGAGCGAGGCTCTACGACAAGGAAGTTCTGATTTCAATGCAGTACTGGTAGCAACTTTAGTCTCGGTCAGGACCCTGCACTTGAGTGATGTCAGAGGCCGCTCTTTCGAATCGTGCCCAGAGGGGCTGCTTGAAGCGTCACCAAGTCCGAGCGGCCTTGCTTATGCAGACGGCAAACTTTATAGAAGAAGATGAACCCTTCGCAAAATCTTTTGACGAGCAGCTTGTTCACGAATCAGAGCTAGCCTCAAAAGTCCACCTGTGAGCACTATCCTACTTCCGAATCTCCAAGCCCTCATTGTGTGCAAAGTAAGGACTTTAGCACGACATGCTGATTTCAACAATTCGCCTGTCGCGCAAGGTCGAGATCTCATTGGTAAGCTTTGCAGGCGTGGTCGCAGCATGAACACAGCTTCAGTTCTGTCCAAGCTCAAGATCGTGCGCGTGCAACAGCATCGTTGGCTAGTACTGGGATTTGACTACGGCTCTTATGACGCGACGACTTCGTCGTCATTTGTTTGCCAGTGCAAGCTCTTGGCAGTACCTCACGTCATGGGCACCAGCTCTTTCTTTTTTTTGCTTGTACTTGGCCAGGAAAAATCCGACCGAACGCTTAAAAGTTCGAGAAGCCATGACCCATGAGTTCGTCGTGAGGCCAAGCCTGACCTACACACACAAACATGTGTAGCCCGTCGAGGTTGAAGGTTGCCGCTTGAAACTGCAGCGGGGCGAGTGAGAGTACCACGTGTGCTCCAAATTCCCCGCACCCGCACCATGCGAGGGGATGATTTAAAGTTCGGTAGCAGCCTTTTTCCTACACGAACGCCAGGTTCCATGTTGCTGAAGCAGGCTCGGTGTTTAGTGCGAGTCGGGGACTGCACTTCGGCCAACACGAATTGACACTAGAGGCAGCGGCAAGAAGTGTAGCATGTCGAAGAGCGAGCAGGTCGTCTTCCTATTTACCGGCTAGCCGTGCCAAAAAGTACTGCCGGACAATAGACTCCATACAGTCGGAGTGAGATCATTTGAAGGTGAGACTTCAATGTCCCATGGCGGATACCCGCCAGGCGTCCCCAGAGTTCAGATGCACGATTCCCGTCGATGTTGTCGGGTTGAGCTTCGAAGTTTGGAAGGGTCAGAGGGTTTGAGCTCTAATCAGTATGTAAAAGTCGGTTCTCGTGGCCGTAAGATGTTCCAAGTGACTTCTCTCACTGAGACTATGTCGTCCGTTTACAGGGGCTGCGGTTGGCGCACAAGGTGGTTGGGAATGTTCTCATTGCATGTTGATGCTCATGTAGGAAGCATTGGTACTCAATGGTCTGATGTTGTGGGTAGCTTGTTGTGATCTCCGGGCATTTACAGGCATGATCAGGCATTGCTTCGTTTGCACTTCGATGCATCAGGTGCTGAGAAGGGAATAACTGCGGCAGGCATGGCAAGCTTGCACATGTTAGCAGCTGGTGTATGCTGGGCAAGTGGGCACAGAGGGATGACATGATACACGACGCAGTTCTTGTTAGGGCGAGGCTCCGAGAATCTCCTGGTACCGTCGGCTAAGCATCACGAGATGTTCTCGAAGCCAGCTACATCCACTGAGAAGTAACTATATGTATGTTCTCGGGGCCCTACCACGCGCCCAGAGGCCCAGGCCCAGACACGACGAATCCTTGTCTCTTTCCGGCGCGTCAACACAACAGAGGGCACGTTCAGACTTGACCAGTCACGACATCGAGTCCTGTGAGGACTCAGCTGGAGTTCGGTTTACTAGCCCTTTCGTAACCATGTCCTGCGCCGGAGGCGCTGCCCCGGCCCCACCCCACCCCGGCCCCCTGATAATGATAAAAAGTGACCTTGGACAGATGATGTTGATTGAGGATGCGCCCCCTCCCCCCCCGTCCTCCCCTTGGCACCCGCCCTCAGACCTCCAGTTTCCAACTTCCAATACCCTCGCTAACCTGGTTGCCGTCGCAAGTGCTACTGTGGGTCGCACCGTTACGGCCACTTCTACTGCTACTGATGCTGCAATTGCCGTTTGCCCCTTCTTCGCTTGCTCACTACCTTTGCCAGCGGTACTGTTGCCAATGCCCCCGGCTGCAGAGTGCTCGTCTTGTTGGATTTCGGGCGAGGCAAGCAGAGCTAAATTTAAACCCTAGTCTTACACAATGCACGTTTCGACATGCCAAGCTACGACCGAGTTCGGCTGCGCAGAAAGGACCGAGCTGCACCAGGAATCAGGACCTCTACAGTCCTTCCCCCCCGAAGACCTCCTTGTCGGCCCTTTCCTTCTACTTCCATTCCCAGTGCTGCTCCCGTCCTGCTTCGGCTGCCAACCCCACTGCTACTGTGACCGCTGCCGATGCTGCGACTACTATGCTGCCACTCAAGTCGGAATGATCATTGACGACAAAAATCGGCAATGCTGCCATCCCTGAGTGGTCCAATCCATGGGACAGCTGACAACTTTCAACCACATGCCAGTGAGAGGGTCCAAAGAACGACACCTGTCACTACGGCTTTGACACCCCTGGCCGACTAAAGAAAGGAGCAACGATGACTTCAATTTGCAGTATTCTCAAAGCACACACAGTCTAGGAGCAACGACGCCACAAGCAAGCATAAACTCAGTGGGGTACATGGGCGAGGGGGGGAGGAGTGAGTTGTGTATCTTGCATGTCTCATGTTGTTAGCAAGTGTGTAGCACCGTATGACCAGCCGCCTCTTCCCCTGCCTAGCCACCCGTGTGCGGTGTGTTGTTCTTCATTGGCTCGTCATGGCGAATGTCTATCATCTGGAGTTGCTTTACTCATTTATGCCCTCCATTGTCATGGCATTCGCATCCTGCCCGGTCCAAGCACATCCCAATCGCCATCAGCATGACGTTCTGGATACGCTTCAATTCTTTGACTGATGCTGCGATTAACATCAGGCGATGACGAATTGCATGAAGCTGCAGGGTCCTAACAACTGGTTCCGTCAATCTCACGCGGAGGCGATGAAGATCTTCCCCGACCGTCTGTTGTAGCGAGGAAGCTTCGGTCAGAGTGCGAGAAGCTGGGCGGCGAGAAGGCCACTGTCGTGTTCGCCTCTTTCTTCTCGTCGTGGCACTTGGCGGTGGTTGGCAAATGTTGGCAACTGAATCTGTGCATCTGGCGGCCAAATGCATGTGGTCTTGTGCACATGAGCAGGAGCACCTCATGCAAGCAATTCAGAACATGGAGGCCAACTGTAGTTTGCGAGCGTTAGCACTCACATTTCCGCATGCACATACCCATTGCCATGGCTTCAGGATCAAATTCAGAAGCAGAAGGATTTGCTTCTTGATGCGGAGGACGCCGATGAGTTCTGTCATGTGTAGTTCTTCTGCTGCGACCAGGTTGGAATAGGTCTTGATTCCTTGATGACTGAGATTCCCATTGTCACTACCTCTGCCATGCATAATGCTTTCCGTTTCGGTTACAGGCAGCCATACAAAATGTGCGGAAAGAAAGACGTGAAGTGGAGGTTGGCGAATGTCCGCGCTGCACAGCAGTCTGCACAACACATCTTACAATGTGTTACAATGTGCTCTCATTCCACTGCGGAATATGCACCTTACGCAGACTTCTTTGCCACATTCATGCCTATGATAGACAAGCTCAGCAGGTGTGCCGGAAAGCATAGGCTATCTTGGGTTCTGAGGCGCTGAAGCAAGAGCAACTCAAGCGTTGCGATGAGCTCGCGCGCAAGATCGAGGACAGCAAGATACAGCAGGTCCAGGCAGATGTAAAATGCTTGAACATGTACGGTAATAAATGTACGGGTTGGAAGGACACGGTTCGGTTGGCGTTAACAGCCGCATTGTTCGCGCGCATAGTGCTCTCGGTTGTGAGTGCGCCATTCTGGCTGCCGCAGGTACAGAACATCGGTCCCGAAACTACGACAACTACGCACTAAATCGGGAACAACATGCCTGAAACGATTCGAACAATTTCGAGATCACGCACGCACGCACGCACGCACG